TGTGTGTGTGTGTATGTGTGTTGTGTGTGTGTGTGTGTGTGTCGATGTGACGACAAATAAGTGATCTTTTCTCTGTTAACCTCTTATGTTATTATAAAATATTTCACGTGACTGATATAATTTTTGATTGCATTAATGTTTGAAATTTTGATATTGTTTTGTTCCAAAATTACAGTTTTAATCCAACAATTTATCCCTCTCACTCAATATCTCTAAATTGACAAAGCTAAAGATTTTTCACTTTCTGTCAAATGTAAATGGTTAAACATTTCATTGTATGATTTGAGAATGGATTTTATTTGGAATTATTTGCTGCAATAACACACTTCAATATTCTCGAGAATATGCCTTCACTCACCAATTATTCTACTTCTTCCATTATTGCAAAGAAGGTATGGAATAACTTTTCGAAATATTTAATAGATTTTCAATATATTTTCATTGTAATCATTTTGAATTTTGAATATGAGAATTGAAGTTAAGAAAAAATTAGGATGGAACAATTGTGATTCATTGATTCGCTTATAGTTTTAGTATTAGCATCGGTTTCATTATGCCATCTTTTGTAAGTTTTATTTAATGTTCTGTCATTATTTTGTATGCAAATGTTTTTTTTTTTTTTTTGATAGAGATGAGATTTCAGAGAAGTAAAGTGAATGAAAATATATTAAAAAGTGCTGTTAGTCGAACGTTACAAATTAAATGCAATCGCATGCGGACATTTATCGATGAAAATCACAACTCGTTGCATTTACATATCAGCGAGCTACGACAGTTTGCTTCATCTACTGGTGGTATATGCTTTGATTGATGTTTTAAGATTTTTTTTTTAATTTCTTCTAGATTTTCAGCACATTTCAAAATTCAAATTCGCATCATCAATTTTTTGTAATTTTATTATGTGTTAACATTGTGAAATAGTATAATACATCTTATGATCAAAGACAGTTTATACCTGTTGAAATTGTTTTAGCATGTTTTTATTCATTTCAAGTCTGCTTCTCTCATCTAACTTTTTATTTTAGTTTGTTGTTATACATATTTTTTACGGCTTTAAGAATTAGAAAAGTTTTTGTCTTTGATAATGACAAACAGTTAATAGCATTTGCTAAATAGTTAGTAGAATCTGCTTTTCCGCTACCTCATATTGTCAGAATCGATATATCTTGTCATAGGCTTAGTTCTGGATGAAATTCGTGCTCTTATTTGGCCGGTTTTGGCATCTTCGCTAGTGCAGGATTCGCCCAGTGATCAGGACACAGCATCAACAATTTCGGATTCTGATTTTCAATCTGCTCATTCTGATTTCATTTACGACGAGAATAGCTCCACAGTTGACTCTGCAACCATTGTGAGTTCTTACATATTCATAACAGCTTTTTGCCTGATCCAGATGCAATTTAAAGAACAATTTTCAAAATTGCGAAGTATTTTATTTTAGAAAACATTTTTAGGTAGATTTAATTAAATTTACAAATAAAATTACCAATTTCGGTTGATTTCCGGTGTTTGTTTACAATTTGAAATTTATTTTAAATTGAAAATTATTTTAAATTTTAAAACTTATTGAGAGATGAGCTATCAGCGATATCGACAGTGCAGATGAAGTTATTAAATTCTAGAGAAATTAGACAATAGGGCTTTCATTTCAGTACTTTGCGATATATGTTATAAAACTGGCATGAAGTTTTTTCTTTCCCTGGTACTCAGAAGGATTTTTGGAACTATTTAAGAAATGGATTTTTTCAATTTGGTTAACTATAAGCGAGTACAGGCTACGGAACATTTTTATTTCAGCACGACTGTGTGTTAGTAATAAAATTAAGGTTCATTTAAAATAAAACATAGAGAGTTGTCAGTTCAAAAATGGAAGTAAATATTTTCAATAAGAGCGGTTTTATTCAATACATTAACACCGGCGCTACAGTATTTCAGTTGTCAAGCCCAACGTTGGAAGATTTGCAAAGTCATCGAGAGTGGTATCAGATAGAAATGGACGTTAAGCGTACACTAGCACGATTTCCGCCTAATATATCGGATATGGAACGATGTGCATTGCAGGATGATTTAACTCCTTTGATTGTGAAAATTCTCTGGAGCTGTCCTCAATTTCATTATTATCAAGGTAGTGGAAATTATTCATAAAAATTTTCTTTAATAAGTCATTTTGCAGAAAGTCGTTTTATTTTTAATAAACTTTTCAATAGATATGTTCTTTTTATTAATCTTATAACATTTTAAACTATGTTTTAATCGTAATTATTCTGTAAATCTAATACATGATGCTAATCAGAATAAGTCTCTCTCGAAAAATTATATTTTCCGAAAAATAATAATATTTCGATTTAATATTTAAATTTTATCTTCTAAATATTCTATCGGATTCTAATTATGTTTTGAACATTGATTTTGGAGTTTATTTTATGATGTTTTAAGGTTTTCATGATGTTTGCTTGACTTTATTGTTGGTGCTTGGTAATAAAAAAGCAGAATATGTTGGTACACTTTTGGCAAATAATGGAATCTTTAGAGGGTTTGCTTTCTGTATGATAATGTTTTATTTGTAGAAAATATTTTATTATGTCATATCAATAAAGAGACCATTATAAATGACGATTTTTTACGAAATATTTTAGTTAGAAAGTATTTTGTTAATTTTAGTTTGTGCTTTTTCAAAAATTAATATTTTTCAGATACCTTCTCAAAAAGCTGGAAGATACAGTATTGAGGGATCTTGATTTGATGCATGTATTGCTCTGGAAAACTGATGAAGAATTGGAAAAAGTAGTACGTACGGTAGAATTGGGGTCATTATTCGCTTTAAGTTGGCCGCTGACATGGTTTTCACACGTCCTACAGCACTACCACCAAGTTTGTTTTTTTCATTTTCAAGTTTTCAAAGAATGCAGCATTCTGTTTCGTACAGTTCTGCTTTCTTTTCTGGCTTTATTTGTTCAAGATTTTTTAGAGCTATTTGACACTTTAATTGTAATCTCTGAATATGATTATTGAAAGAAATTCTAAAGCAACAAACTGTAGGTAACAGGAAAAGTGGGGAGTAAATATAACAGTAAATTATTTCAATCATTTGCTCCCTTTGCTTTCAGATTGTTCTTTGTTTCGATTTTTTTCTTGCTACTCACTCTCTTACTCCTATTTTTTTAACTTCCGCTGTCGTTTTATGGCGAAGTAGTGCAATTCTGAATTGTTCTCGAGATATGGCATCTATCCACCACTTATTGAATGTAATGCCAAATGATGTCCCTATTCAGGCGCTAATCGACGATGCGCGAGATTTATTTGGGTTCTTTTTTATTTATTTATTACTTATTTACATTCGTGTTGATAATAAATTATTTCTTTGCTACATTTTCAACAAAAAAAAGCTTTTTTTTAATTTAAGGATGTTTCCTCCTTCAAAGCTACGTGGTGAGCTGATGGAAGACTATCGACATCTTATAAATATTAATCGGATGCGAAAACCATCGTTTCCAAAGATATCTCTTCGAAAATGGTTAGTTGCGGGTACTGCTACTGCAGCGATATACGTGCTCTCAAAATATATGTTTATTACTTCTTCCTATTGATTTTTTTTTTGGTCATTGTAAATTTATGTCTATCTACCATTCCAGTTTAATACTTTCAATAAAATGCAATCGGAGTTGTACTATATTTTGTCGGAAATTTGTTTATTTTGTTTATATCTTGTTGAAATGTGTTCGGTGAAGTCTTTCAGAATTGTTTTATTTTCATTGTAGAAATATTAGGACGTGTAGATTTCTTTGATGGGTCAGTTTTTCACATGGGCTATTTAGATTGCTTTAAAAGATATATATTTCTGTGAAAATATATTTTTAAAGAATTTGCTGTTGAAAAACTGTAGATCCGAACATCTAAGTCAAGTAAGTAAATTCTTTATACTTATTTCAAGTTAAATTATCTATATATCTTTAGCCGTGTAAAACGATATCTTTCTTTTCGAACATTGTGCTTGCTGACTTAAAAATAAAATCTTTATCCCAGCCATCCAATGTGCAAAAGCAATATTCAAGTAATTTTTTCGGGAAGGAGTGACCAATGATTTTGGAGATCTTGTAGTTAATTATCACTAGCAATAATTACGCTATACATACGAACTGGTTAAATCTTACAGGTTTTTGTTAGGAGCATAGAGCTGACGAATTTTAGTAGCTCATAATAATTTGAATATTTAACATGCATGGAAATCATCATAACAGAGAACACGCATTCACTATTTAATAAAACCACTGATATTAGCAAAATAATTTTTACCTTCAATCTGTCAAATGCAAAAAAAAAAAAAACGTTATCCGAGTAAATAATTATTGATGTTTGAGTTTCTTCAATCATTACCAATTAATTTTGTAGTATTTGACATAATGCAATCTTCATTGAACAAATTTTTAATAAAAAAATATACATTATGCGTTATGTATAAGTTAAAGTTTGCGCAATTAATCCATTTCATGCTTATTTACTATCCTATAAAATCATCAAATAGCATTTGCAATTTTCTCAATTCAAATAGTTTGGAAATTGTTAATTGTTAGTCAGTATTGGATAGTATGATTGGAGTAGAAAGGATGAAGTGGGTAAATTGGAGTTGTCTGATTCTTTATAACCTGTTGTAGTAGATGGATGGGTATTGGTATAATATCAATACGCTGATATATTATTAACTGTGGTAAATGATAGAAATGAAAGGAAGAAAGGAAGGAAGGAAGGAAGGAAGGAGGGTATTTAAGAGGAATGGTGTGATAGAGAAGCATAAACATGCTGTACACAATTTTACTCAAACTGGTAATTTGTAAATGGAAAGATGATGATGGCCTTTTCAAACAGTCTACTTGTATTAAATGTTCTATCATTTATATATATATATATATATATATTTTTTTTTCCTCCCATCTTATAATTATTGATATTATGAATGTTGTAAATGGTTTTTATGAATTCGAAAATGAAGCAATTTTTACTCTTCGTTTAACTAACTTTTCTTTTAATTACAGAATGCTTATATTTTAATTTAAAATTTAACAAAAATTTTCTCAATTAAGTTAAGTTTGATAGCGTTTAAATTCAATTATCTTTCAGTTCAATTTATGAATTAATTTTAGTTCAATTTTTAGATATAATTGATTCCAATTTTACTACAATTCAAGCTGACTTTTAAATTTATTTGATTTTATTTCAGTTTCATTCAGTTGAATTCTAAACTCATCATCGATCATAGCTTCACCTTAATTAAAGAACGGATATATATATATATATATTAACAATTTACTTTGTTTGAAAAAAAAAAGGACTAAATTTGCAAATGTGAAAAAATATGGAGAAAATATATCGAAATTCTCGGATACTTATAATTATTGGTATTGTGAATGTTGTAAATGCCTTTTTGGCTGGTTGTATTCAAGCGGAAAAGTCGTATCATACGGAGCATTTCACCAATACTCACTGGATCACTATCATATCACTTTTTGCTGGTATCGCTTCATCGATCTGTCCATCTTTTAATCATTTGTCCATTCCATTCATCTTTGCTATCATCGTTGACATATTCGCTTTAGCTATTTCATTTGCTACAATCATTGCTGATTTTTTTAATGTAATTGCTATTTGGAAAGATTTCGGTACATTAACAAGGAATGCTTTTATTACAAAATTACAGGTATGGCTATTTTTCTACGTTCTGTAGATAATTCTACTATCATAGTTTAAATCTATAGTTTAATTATATATTTTTCTACATTCTATAGATAATTCTACTATCATAATTTAATTATGTTCACAAATTATCCAAAATTGTTTCCTTTATTTATCCCTTAAGGTGTCATTTATTTGTCATTCAATATTGGGACGAGATAAATGAACATTTCAGGTATATGGATTACTCAGTTACAGTACGGTGGATATGATTTTAAGTGCGGTATCAGTAGCATTACTGTTACTGATACTTTCATCTTGTTACCGTAATTTCCTGGATATTCAGATGGAAAGACATTCCATACAATTTTCTATTATCGGTTGCACACTTATTGCAACTTCAATGCTTAAATTTTTTTCCTGGCTTGCTGAATTGTATTTTTTACGTTCCATTGGTAATGTTATTCGTTATACATTCATACATTATACCACAGATGAACCTCTCTGGATTATGCTTAATATAGCACTTGGTATATTTTTTTTCAATAATTTTCACTCATTTATTTTGCTAAATTATTAATTTTTTTTAACTCATTATTACTTTCAGTTAATTAAATTGCTGATTAAATTTTCATTTTTACTAAATTATCACTCTTTACTCATTTACTCAAATTAATTAAATTGCTGATTGAATTTTTCATTTGAGGTATTTTGTGTATACTACGAATTCCCCCAAATTCTCCAACAAAATTAATAATTTTTTGTCTCTCTTCAATAAGTATTTATCCAACTGTTACTTATTTATGGATTGATTATCGATGGTTTTCTAATGCTGTAGTAAGTTTTTATTGAAATAAAAACAACAAATAAAAAAAAAACAAATTCAAAGCTTAAAAATTTTTAAAATATGAAAAATCTTATTTCTGAAAGTTTCCAAAGCTTAAACAAAAATTTCAAAATTAAAATTTTAATCTTATCAAAATTTATTGCAGATTTCTGGAACAACATTTGCGAAATGGACACCAGATTGGTTATCAGTGCTTAGTTTAAGTACTGGCATTATCCACATTTTCTTATTGATTATTCTAACTTTAACACTTATCAGTTCATTTCGACAGCCGCTTCACATGAATTTCTCTTCTCAGTTCAAAACATTTCTGTTCATCTCAAGTATGCTATTAACATACTATTTTTCCTTCATGGAAGATTTAATTCGATAAGATAGAATTATGCATACTTTTGTGCATACTCAAATCATTCCAATTAATACAGTGACCGGCTAAGGGTCACTGTATTAAATGGAATGATTCGAAATCCTTGATCAAATCATATCTGATATGTGGACGAACTACTCACGATATGGCCAAATTACGAGAATTACGATAAGAGGATCGATATATCGGCCATTGATTTTCCTAGATTTTGTATATATTTGCTTTGTTCAATTAACGAGAACGCTCTGTATCTTACCTTAGTTAATAATAATTTACATGAATTTCCATAAATAGACACAATTCAAAAACAATAATTTCAAGAGATCGAAATTGAATAATACAAGCTTATCGTTTTTTAATTCCAAATTTATTTATAACAAATGCGCTTTTTTTTTTTTCTAGGTATAATAGCAGGCGGAATTTCTATTGCACTTTTTGCATTCGATATTATATCAATTCGTTTGGAGGCATTTTATAAAATTTTTCATGGAAATGAGCAAAAAACACCATTCTTGACAACTTTAGCTACCATATTCCTATTTTTTGCTTCCAATAGGAAGGTCAATTTCTTCGTGATCCCTGCACTGTATGTTTGACTTATCTCAATATCATATAATTAAACTTCCCTCAAAAATAATTTCAATCATTTGCTTTAAAAAAAAAAAAAAGAATAATCAATGTCATTTTATCAAATCATAGTGCTATAAATTGAAAATAAAAGAAAAAAAGAGAAACAAATTCATTACGGAAATTTTTTGATAAAACTTAACAAAATTTTATTTCAGGCTAACCACATTACTATTCTGTATTCAATCAACAACTTTTCTACTTATCTCATACCTCTATCTATCATGGAATGGATATTATGCTGATGAAGTATGTGAAATATTTTATCGTGGTTCTGCCTGGTGTACGAGCTATTTAACTATACCTGGTGCCATATCACATTTCATTGAAACACTTTTGTATTTTTGTGTTTTTGTTGCATCCTGTAGTATGGTTTACATTATTTGGCGAATGGTACAAATAAATCCACGTCGTGGTGCCTATAATATTGATGAAAAAAGTATTGCGGCTATAAAATTGGAGAAATTAATTGAGGTTAGATTGAAATTTTTAACATTTTAACAATTTACTCAATATTAATCATTGCATTGAATTCATCAATTACAGTAGCACTTTTTCTTCTTATGTTACCAAAAAAATTCACTCAATATGTATAAATTACCCAACTGACAGTAATTATGTAATTTATTATAAGCGGTAATTGATATTCTCATAATATCTATGAAAGAATTATTTTCATTTGGTGTAAATAATTTTTAAAGCTTTTGATAAATGCTATTTAAAATGAAGAGTTGCAGAAAATTGGCTTGGCTTTGTTGATTGCTGGTGCCGGAGTGCTTATTGTTACTATGTATGAATTTATATGGAACTCATCGAGACATCCATTAATTGTTTTGCTTACCTCACTTTATCATCTCTCTCTTACTATAACTCTTCTCATTTTTCCTCTTTATCAGGTATGCCAATTGTAATTAGTCAGTATATCGATATATCATTTATATAATCAGTTAATGTATCAAGCAGAATTATATCATATAAACTTGATGAACTGCTTAAATTACATTTATCAAAGTTGTTGTAATGAAAACTTACCTTAGCATTACTAAAATATACCTGCACATCATGTGCTCCATCATAATGTGACGATAATGGATGATTTCAATTATGGAATACTTATTTCAGATTGTCATTAGTCGAGAACTGTATGCAAATTTGTTGCATTGCACATGCTTGCTGATGATTAATGCAGTTCGTTTCGCCGACATCTTGACGCAGCTAGACTATCGAAATATTGGTATCGGATTTTAAATTTTGGCAAGGAATTTAAAATAATGATTTTAAGATAACTGAAAAATGTATGATTTATTATAGGTGAAGTAACAAGTTGGTCATGGAGGATACACAATACAACGGAAGTATTCGCATTAGGTGCTCATTTTGCAACAATCGTATGGTGTCTTAGGATTCTTGATATAGTTAATAATACTAGAATTTCTCATATGTCACAACCCTTTGTGGAATTCAGAAATCCACTAAGTACAGACCAAATGGCTCAACATTATACTTATTCGGTTCAAGATGTGTAATATTATATACTACTATATGGGACTTTCAGTATATGAATGTTCTTTTCTGTTTTGAAAATTTTTAATATATGAAGTAATTTATGCATTTTTTAATTGATTTACAGAAGTATGAGCATTATGTAGTTTAGAAATCAACCTATATCTGCTTTCACTATTCAAAACTATTCATATTTTTTACTTCGAATACATGATATAGACAATTATGCAAAAGAAACTTCTGGATTTAAATAAATTAAAATAAAAAGCAAAAATGAATGTATATAGTCAAATGAAGTTCCGAAAATTAAAATAAATGAATTTCTAAAAAAATCTGTGGATTTGTTTAGCTTCAAACAAGAATTTCAGCATTTTCGAATGAAGCAATTTTTAAATTCATGTTAAATTAAGACAGTCTTTTGGAATGTACAGAAGATGTATCTTCTGCAATCACCATTTGTTACCCATCTTTTTCTTCTTCTTTTTTTGTTGTTGACCAGCTGGTCTTTGTTGACGTGGGCCTTCCATGCCCATTACTGGTCCTATTGGATGCGAATTAATTGTTTTTGTCGCCATCGTTGTTGGTTCCCTAAAAATACGATTTAATAAACAATCTAACTGTGATACATAATAGCTATAAACAAAGATTCATAATAGTGCGGAAATGCACACACATTTTGGGAGAAGAGCTAACTGCTCCCTGCGTGCCTCGACCGATATCGCGATCACGGTGCTTTTTGTTAAGTTTTTTCCTAAATGCTGTACGTTCTTGTTTTGGTAACCACCGTTCCGGGTCAGGAGGTACTTTTGGATCGAAGTTTTTTGGTAAGATGATCTTTCGCTTACGTTTATGTGCTCTTCTTTTAGTTACTATATCCTGGAAGAAAAAATATTTGTGTTGCTAAACAAAGAGAAACAATGTAATATACAATCCACAAGTGTTTGAGGAATTTCCATTCCCGTGATTTCTGTTACACATTCAAAAGATTTTCATAAATAAGTCTCAATAACAGCTATAATAAAAGTATTGATTGTGCATCGAAGCTAATGAGGCTCAGTAACAGCTACAATAAAAGTATTGATTGTGCATCAAAGCTAATGACTGCTTAAACATTAGCAAAAAAGATGAGTAGTTGATATAAGTTTAAATATTAATAAAAAAGAAATGATTGTACTCTCATTTATCTTGGACTACTCATTACAGCCCTATATCAACTTGTATCCATCTAATCAAAAAGAGAAAGAAATATAACTAACATTATCAGGAGTTTCTGTTTTCAGCTCTTTCTTCTGACGATAACGTTCCCCATACAAAATAAAATCTGAATCCTCCAGCATGTCGACATCGATATCCATGCTACTTCCCTGTGGAAATACTTTTGCCAATAATTTTTCAGCTCGTACTATATTAAACGTTGAAACAGCTTTGATTAAAGAACACATTATCTGCATATCATCGGGACGAAGTTCAGAAAGTTTTTCGAAATATTCTGCAGCGGAATGATAATCTCCTAATTGAATATTGAGTGAAGCAATTTCCTCTAGTACTGCAATACGAGCCTTCTCACTTTTTGCCGAATTCAAGGCAGATTTTAGAAGATTTAGCGCCATCTGCAATTAAACTCTCATTAAAACAAAAAATATATGAATGTCACAATCAAAACACATTTTTGATATTAATGAGAAATGACAATGACAAAATGTAACAAAGAGATTACGACTAAACATACATTTTGCTGATTTGTGGCTAGAAGAAGGGCGACTCTTAGCTGTAAAATTGCCGGATAAGATAATAAATCTGTAGAGAGTTCATTTAATGTACAGCTCGCATCCTCCAATTTTCCTACAAAATGAAAGAAAAAAATTTCATACTAAAATGGAAAATTACTGAATTATTATATATCAATGAAAATATCTAGACAATTAATATTTTCGAAAAATTTATCAAAAAACATGCAGAAAGAACAAAGTCATGTAGGGACCTCTTCAAAGGTTCACAATGACATTGTCAATCACTTAATTTAGACTGTGACATGAATATCAAAATGACATTTTACTCTAATTTTCAATTCTTTTTAACAAGAAATAAAAGGGAGAAGCATAACTGTAATTCTGAACTTCTTAAGATTATCCAGAAGATTTAGAAATAAAACTTTTGAATAATTAAAAAAAGAACTACATTGAAGATAAACTTCATGCAAACCTTCATCAAGCAAAATTTGCACTGCTGTCAATTTTGCCTCTTTCGATGGATCACCCTTGAGTACTGTAAGTGCTTTTTGAAGCTCTTTCGAGCGAACATAGAGTGCTGCTTCTATCAACGTCACTTCGGTACAAGAGCCATACTTCTTGGTAAATTCTTCGAGAGTTCGACGACATGGCTCACGCTGGTTCGAGAAAAGGTGTACCAAAGCCTAAAATATTTTAAGACAATGAAAAGTAAGGAAACTATTGAATATTAAAAAATAACTTGAACTATACGAAATACATCCTGATCTGGACGGTTTATTCGCCAATGAAATTTAAAAAACTTTCTGGACTGGAGAGACGTCCTTCATCATGGAATAAAATGTGAAATGAAGTCCAGTCTTTTTATATTTGTTCATTCTTCCTTAATAATACAAGATATCAGTAATTGTACTATTTGATTAGGAAAAGAATTTATAAAGAATGTTTATAAGCCGCTTAAAGAGTACGACCTGATTCAACAAAAGAATACGTCGTTGTCGAGCTGTTAGCTTAGAACTCTCAACCTGCAGTGCAGTTTTTAACTTCTTTCGTGCCTCCAACAAATTCTGTTCTACACGACACGACGGTATATTATTTGAGACCACTGCGATAACACTTTTATCTGACGGACTAAAATAAAATATTTCATTTTTGAACTTCAACAATTTTTAAACCAAGAACATTTAAATTTTACTAACTTGAGATTTTGAATTCGCAAATAGATTTTTAATGCATCGTCTCTCCTGCCCAGCATTTGAAGAACAAACGCTTTTTGGACTCGAATTACGGACAGTTCTTCCTCAATTTCTTCTTCTGACAAACCTTCCTCTATTAACGTATCGCTGCATAACCCTGAAGACCTGAAGACCTGTATCACCTGTATGTTAGAATACAATGTAATGTAGAATAAAAGTACACGTTCTGGAAATGGAAAAAAAAGAAGCAAAAACAAACTTTCAGCTTTTTCAAGAAATTTCAGTGCTTGAGTATATCCACCTGATTCAATCAATTGACAAGCAGCATTATACAACTGTTCGAATGTATCCAAATGTGATGGTGGCTGCTGAAAAAACTATGATATAACTTGAAACTATTTCTCACCTCTTATCTTTTTGCCCAACATTCTCAATTTTCTGTACCCCACTCATCAGAATTAGTATAACACAACTTTCTGATGTTTTTTGTCTAAGTGTTTCAATTCATTATTCTTTATAGTCGATATTGACAATTTCTGGTTCATTTCTAAATAATCGCTATATCACCAAAATTTGAAAACCTGCTGATGGCCACTGGCTTGCAACTGTGCAATCGCTGCGATCAAATTGGCGCATCGTTCTTCATCATAATCATCCGAATGATCTTTCAGCAAGCTCCTAAAAGTAAAACAAATTCAAGATTTTTATAACCAGTTGAAGACTTCTTATGAAAATCTTAGAAAAAAATCAAATTCTAAAAACACAGAGAAAGAGATACATAAATATTTTCGAAGCTTCATCGAAACGTTCAGAACGATAAAGCAATTGTGCCTTGAGTTCCATGCAACGATAATCAGCCTCTGAAACCTTTTCGAGTGTTTCCAGTGCAGCGGCATCTTCCTGCATTCGATACAACACGTACGCCTTTTCAAACAGACAATCTCTGAAAGTTGGAAAGGTTTGACGTCAAGAATCGATTAAATTTACTTAGCCCTTTACGAATAAATTTTATTGTTAAAGGGCCAAGTAAATTCCTGTCAAACGGTATTAGCTGATAAATAGAGCACATTAAATGCCAAAAAGGGATTAATTATACATTGCTGATGAAATAATATGAAAATAATTACCCCATATGATGAGGTGGAGTCTTCTTGATTAAAGTAAGTGCTTCATCCAACCGATTAAGTTGTATAAGTGCTATCAATTTGCATTTAAACGCCAATGTTTCCTTTGGATATGTGCGTAAAACTGAAAACAGAATGGAAGAATATCCTTGAAAAAATAATTCAACTTCCAATATTACCTCAAAATGGATGAATTATAAGCTAACGATGGTGCAGTGCTAGATAAAAGGTAAAGTATGGAAAAAGCATGACTGTGTAAAAGTAAAAGCAAGAATGTAGGTGATAATGAATGGAAATAAATGGTAGCTAATTGTTACCAGTGACCTAAATCTAGTCGAACTGAATATTAAATGCTTCTTAAATAAGCATATTTATCAAAATATGTTTCAACTGTTTACCTTTATTAGCGATTTTGAGTGCTTTATCATAATCGGCGCTAGTATCAGCTTTAGCAAGCTCAATGAAGCACTGTTTTGCACCACTCTCTACAACCATTGTTGATTACCTATAATCAAATTCAAAACACGATAAATTCATAGTAAAAATGTGTAATCTACATCAGACGAAAATAGAGCTTCTATAAATTCACGGTCGAATCATTAAACAATTACAACTAATCTATACAGTTGATAATTTAGCATACTGTTGAATGTTCACTCTATACACTGTCTCATTGAGTTAAAATGAAAGGACTGCTAAAAGAAAGCTTCAAACATTAATTTACACACTTAACACTTAATAACTTGACTTCACATATAGTATTGTCAACATAGTGATACAGTATTACAGTTACTCTTAATCTTTATTAAGACTCAAAACGGAAAAATAATCATGAAGTAATGTCTATCCAATTTCGTTGATATCATTCAACCCAAGTGAGATATTTCAAATTTACCACTTCCCTCACGCTCTTACAACAGCAATGCGGACATAAAATAAAACGCCACGGCGTATTAAAAAAAAAAGGTCAACTGAAAAATCGTCCAGCCGTAGAGTACAGGTGAATAATGAATCGATAATAAAGGTAAGTAAAAGCCCACCTTTTCGTAGTTCGAAATTTGCATATAATAACTTGATATGTTTGTATCTCGTAAGATGATGATAATATTTCTAAAAAATTGAAAAAAATTTTATTGTTACGTTTAGACCAGTGGAGAAAAGAAAGTAGTTTGTGACATGTGTTGGAGGAATAAATGGAGAAAGGTAAGTGAGTGTGTGGAGAATGGAAGGGTAAAAATTTAATATTTAACTTCTTTCACGAGATTTTTCTTTTCATTCTCTTCCATTTCAATTTCTCGACACATTTAAAATGTATCAGCAAAGTAGATCGATGAAGAAATTTAAAAAAAAAAAAGTTAAAGATAACTTTACGGATGGAATAACAGAGGGAAGTAATATGGTTGTAGTGAAAAGTTTCTTTTTCATGCACCCATCTCACCATCTTAATTAGCACATTTAATTTCTTTTTCCTAAAACATTTGAAATTCATTTCCATTACAGTAATTAAAATCCTATTCCCTTTAATATAGGATATTAAGCGAATAAAATTGATCAGTGAAATGCTGTGTAAAAAGAAGGCAGACTAAGCAAATCAAAAATATCTACGGCAGATGGGCATTACAATTTATCGACAGGCCTCATTTTCAGTGCCTTTCATTCGTTCGAAATTCATTGCCTTTCAGAGTGGAAGTGCCGAAATTATAACGCAATCCGAAAATCCGATAGGGACACAAAAATTAAAGTAATTTTCGGAAAGAAATATATATCTGTATGAGTGAATGAGTAAGATGATTTCGAATTTTTGATGATACTTCCATAGGAAAGAATTAGTTTTATTAAAATAATTCTGGAATTTAAAAAAAAAAATTTTAAATAACAATCCTAACTAAGCTGATGATAATATGATTGCAAAATTTCTTCAATATTCTCATATATCAACAATGATAGGGAGGATTTATGGCATAACTTTCTTTTTTTTCTAACTCATAATTTCCAAGTAACTGTAACATCATCATCTCTAAGTTAGATAGATTGATTTTTATTGGATCACATTAATTAGTACTTTATTAGTGAATTTATCGATTTAGAACCAAGGAGCTTCCAACTCCGATAAAAATGCTTTCGGTACCAGTTATGCCCATATCCTTTCCTAAAAAAGATGAAGATGAATCATCAGCTGTGAAAGTTGTTGAGAGTAAGTTTTCAAAAAAAAAAAAAATAATAATAATATGCTTAACTGAAATCTACATTTACTGAAAACTGCATGCAAATGCGGCTGCATGTCAGCAATTTCGAAGAGATATAAGAGCATACCAAATCTCTGCTTTTTTTTAGTTAAAAATAAAGGAAGTTCAAAAGTCAGTAAAAAAAGCGTGCTGTCAGAATTGAATACATTGAAAGATGTAAGTTATAATTTTCCTACAAAAAA